TGAAAGGTTGTACTATTTGCTAGTGGCCAAACAACTACTAATCCATTCATCCTTCTACTTTGCCAACCTCATGGAAGACTTAACCTGCTATCCTTCTAACTCTGCATTTAGCTTGGCCAACTCTTCTTCTAGTTGTTATGCCCAAGCTAAGTTCTAGTTCTTCTCTATCTTTACTTGGTTAGCACGAGCAGTGATCACTACCTGCCCATATTATAGTTTATTCTTCTCTTTTTCTACCTTCTTAATGTGAAAAGTCGTAACATCTAAGCACCATTGCATGGTAATGTTCTTTTTAGTGGCCATTTTCAACTAGGCCTTTAACTTCTTCACATTTTTCTACAAGATGGCATTCAAGGTTTTCAGACCTTCAATGGAAGCATCCTTCTCCCACAACAATATCTTCTGGTTGGCCCTAGCTTGAGCCTCCACCTAAAGTATCTCACCTGTGCCCCTCAAGTCTTCCACCAATAGCCTTATTTGCTCATAAAGGCCCATCTTATTAGCCAAAGATTGCACAATACATATAGTCATTGTTAACAACTCATTGAACACAAAAAAACAAGCAAAAATTACTAACTTTATTCATACTTACCTTAGCAACTAAACACAACTTAGCTTACAGGTTGTTAAAGATGGGGAATTATTGCACTTTTTCCCTAACAAAGCAAGGCAGATTAGTTGTGGCCCACAGGCATGTTGCCTCAATAGGGAAAAGGTTAGTGGGCCATTGGTTGACTGTAGTATAGTCTAAGAAGGACATTATGTCCAACCTATCGCTAGAATACTTAATGGTAAGTGCAGTGACTCTTAAGGTGACCTCCAACTCTTTATTCATAGACCTACTAATGTCGATGCTCACCACCACAAAAGGAATAACAATGGCCAGTGGAAAAGGTCCAATAGAAGCATGAGTGGCACTAGTAACAGAAATTATTGTAAAATGCACCACTAGTGTTAACATTGGCATGTCTAAAGTAAAAAAAAAATGCACTTGATTCTGTGATTAAAGGAACTCCAAAGGCCTACTAACAACTACAGATTGAGCCCTACTAGAAATAGGCATTGCATTGCTGGGCGTGCTAGAACTCTTCATGGATTTCTTCTTTGCAGAAGGAAGATTGATGTGCAAAGATCTCTTCCCCTCTACTTTTCTTACTGTAGTATCTTTTGAAGCTTTGAGGCATGATCCATCTTTGCAAAGCAAATATAAATATTAGAATTATTTAACTGTAATTATACTAAACAAAGTATAACGAATTACCCTCAACAACAACCCAAACATCTAGCATGCTACTTGTAACTACCTTCACTACCTTTGTTACTCTCTTGCATGCCAATAAAGGCAACCACATTTGGTCTCTTCTCTATTATTTGCTGTACGCCACTAGTTGAGGGACTCCTTAGATGAGTCATAAATTTTTTAGGTTTCGTTGCTACCTTTTTCACTATAACATCACGCATAACAATCTCGCATCAATACCAATTGTTAACACAGGTAGTGCAATACTCAAAACAACAAACACAACCCACTTACATTTTTTTTCACCCAAACTCTTCTTGCTTTTGGGTGCCCATTCCTTTTCATCTTGGCCTCTCTCTTAGCCCAACACCTTCTAAATAGTAGTAGTGAAACCCTGATCCTCACTTGGGATGAGGTAGTAGTCACAAATGTTCTTTTGGGTGGCTAACTCCTGATAGGATAATTTCTCATCTTTTAGAGCATTCACCTATTTTAGGTCATCCTTACCAAGCTCTAGAGTCTCCTTCGTCAATGTATTGGCATAAGACCATTTAATTGTAAAAAGGAACTAACTGCATGCCAGGCACTTTAGTACGGACCACCACAAATCTGTTATAGAAAGGATGATTATTGGATGATAACTTTATCATGCATGACCGCCAACGGGCATGAAGATAGTACAACCACCCATTAATCTCCCTTAATATTTACAACACCAGAATCACATTCATTGAGGGAACTCATATATTCAAATGATAATAAATAAAGTTCATCACCATGATCACCCATGCGTTTAGTGCTATTTATGAGGCTACCAGATTAAACATAATCAACACCAACTTGAAAAGTAAATGCAATGGTAGGTGGAACCCATGGAAAAAATTGTGCACTGCCATCCTTCATTTGCCCTAATAATGCTTATGGTGAAACCCTTATGAGGCATTGAAATGGTGTACATGGGATTTCCTAGATTAAAGGGCATGCAATTTAGGACTTGGTTCGCCATGCTTGGTGTCGCATTTGAATAATAAATATTTGGTGGTCATGCCTTTGAAGCTGGATCCTTGGGCTCTTTCACCACCATTTTCTTTCCCTTTGCTTTACCCTTGCTGTTATTAGGGGCACTAGCCTTAAAACTAGGAGCCTCTTACTTCCCTTATCACAATGACATGAATGTGGCTTCCACTACTTTGTGATATTTGGCCCCCGTAACCCTTACCCTAACTTTTTTCTCTTTTACCTTGATTTTTAGTGCTCGTAATGAGCACCCTAGTACCCTTATCATCACTTGAGCTCTTAATAAAAATGCTCTTCTTTGGTGCCATTTTCCTTGTAAAAGCCAAACAAACAATTATTTTTTACTTGCAAGTTGCAAATCCTATCCCTCCTATTTATACTTAGCCAAACAACACAATTGAAACAGTACAAACTAAAACACCATTTCAACTAGTCACAAAATGGTCTAGGTTAATTTCTAATTAAAGCCAACCTTTAGTTACTCACTTTTTTAAAAAGGCACATTTATTTCCCTTCATTGAACCTGTACAATTTAAAATTTAAAACCATTGATTGTATTTGACAACCCTTCAACCACATGGCACCATGTGTCTTACATAGCCACATTTCTTAGAAACATAGGCACATGTTCAATAATGCCCAACCACAACGCGGTCCATTTATGCACACAACGTACATTACATCAGTATTTAACAAAACATTTTTCTATGTCTTCACTTACTATTTCTTGTATCACTACAAAGCATACAACTAGCCGAAATAGTGTCCATTGGCAAACAAGGACATTTCATCACCATGACTCATTGAGATAATGACTTTTATCAAAAAAGGACACATCAGCAGTATAGTTAACCAAAACAACATCCTTTGCCAAACGAGGACCCGTCAACACACACAACCTACCTAGGAAACATCCTATCAACAAGTGCTCTCTTTATGACTTTTGCCAAAGGTTGAAGGGCAATCACTTTATAACTTTTATGGGACAACTGTTGTACCTATTTACCTAGTCAACAAGGTAAACTCCAATGATCACCAAATCAACACACGCTCAATTGCCATGTCACCACACATAAAGCTTGACATCTAACTCCTTGTCGTGAAACGGGAACACCCTCGCCAATGAGGGACTAAACCCAAATACCTCTACTAACATCCCTTTAAGATATCATTTCAAAACAGACAAACTATCTTCCAACTTGCCTAAGGTCATTAAATGCAGCCCACTTATCTAGGATTATTAAATACAACCAACAATCACCCACATTGCCTCACCCCAAGCTCCACGTAGACTCATCGTTAACTATCAACTGTCCTAGCATGTCTCCGATATTCCTTTCATATATAAGGTAAAAAAGAGGTCCAGGTACAATATGAACTAATTATTCTTTCTTTTGAAGCTTCCTCAATATTTATTGTTTTCCTTCTTCTTTACTAAACCCTAAAAACATTTTATTGACTTGAGCGTTGAAACACGTGCCAGAGAACCAACTTCGACGTCACTTGACTATACTTTTTTATTTTAGGTTCAAACTTCCTCTCACACAATAACCAAACCATTTCCCTCCAACTAACACCCCAAAACATCATTAACAAAATGAATAAATTGTATGTGTTCCAACAGGAAGTCATATAATTTTGCTACTAATTTCAAAAATAACAAAGACCATTTTATTATTAATCATAGTGATTGTAAGGATAGAAATTTAAGATTTCTTCATAAATTAGATTGTCAAATTACATATTACTATTAATATTTTTATATAAAAGAGATTGTAATTTGGGAATAGATAAAGAAATTGTAAATGTTAAAATTTAAATTCAAAATTTATTGAATGCTATTTTTTTAAGATGATTGTATGAAATAATTTAGTTAAACTTAAATTTTACTGATAATTTTTTCATTACACTATACTCCTACATAAACCACTATAATTCTTCCTATTTATCTAAAATTACTTATAGTTATTAGTAGCATAATTAGAAGCAAATATTCAAGCATGATGCAAACATATCCGTACATTTGTAGACCCCACTTTTCCCTCCATTTCAAGCCCCTCCTTTTGACGGAAAATGGGGGAAAAAAAATAGGGTAAAAAAGGAAAGGTATTGTTGGGAGCAACTGGGCAAGAACTGTCATTGATGGCACAACTTGTAACTAAAGCAAAGCGATTTCATATCAGCCATGAAGGGCAGGCAGGCACCAAACTTCTTTTATGTCCTACTTCATAATTCCACTCCATAGCCGAACCTTTTCACCAAAGCCTCCACTTTTCATAATAAAAATGGTTAAGACCCAAGGGTAAATAAGTCATAAAAACACTGTAAAAAATAAAAAATATTCCTGTTTTATACATGTGACGTTAGATCACACAATTAAAAATAAGTTTTTTCTCATAAATTTCATCCTACTCGTATCAAAATTAGAATTTGAAACTTACAAAAGTTAAAATCATGAACTCTAATGGTTGAGATCTCCTGTAATAGAAAAAAATTTTGAAATATGATTGAAGCCGAATGGGATTACCGCCAAGATAAAGGAGTAAAAAAGAAGTTCCTCTGCTGTAATTAACAAGAGACCAAAACTGCACTAATTAAGGAGATAATGATAATCTAGGATCTACAAAATTTTCCACTTTTTTGACAATGTTCCCTTCCTTTTTCTTTCACAATCTTTTTTTTTTCCTCTCCATAAATAGCAGTTCACACTCAACCTTCTCTTCACCACCCCTAACCCCTCAAACTTCAAGCATCCTATAGCTTTCCCTCTGTCTCTTTAGTCAAAAGAAAATGGCAATGGGGCGTGTTACTTGTTTGGTTTCTTTGCTTCTCATATTGGTGACTGTTGAAGCTAGAATTCCTGGTGCTTACTCTGGGGGTGCTTGGCAAACTGCCCATGCCACTTTCTATGGTGGCAGTGATGCTTCTGGGACAATGGGTACTTCTACATTAAAAATTGTCTTCCTTTCACCTCTTGAATTGTCATTTTTAGACTTAAAATTCCATTCTTTTTGCCCCTTCTTGTGGTTTAAGAAAGCCCCATTTTTTAGACTTCAAACTCTGCAGTCTGCCCCAAGAAACCAAAGAAATTTTGCTTCCTTTCTTAGAAAAGCCATTACATACAAAAAATTTTCAACTTTTCCAAATTAAACCTTGAAAATGCTTTAAACCCAGTTCTAATTCTCTAAACCAGGATGATGTCAACTACTTATCTGATATTTTCCCTCTTTTAATGATCTTCAGGTGGAGCTTGTGGCTATGGAAACCTATACAGCCAAGGCTATGGAGTTAACACAGCAGCTTTGAGCACAGCTCTATTCAACAATGGATTCAGCTGCGGTGCCTGTTTTGAGATAAAATGCACAAATGATCCACAATGGTGCCATTCTGGTAACCCTTCAATTTTTGTCACTGCAACCAACTTTTGCCCTCCAAATTATGCTCTTCCTAGTGACAATGGGGGATGGTGCAACCCTCCTCGCCCTCACTTTGATCTCGCCATGCCCATGTTCCTTAAGATTGCTGAGTACCGTGCTGGCATTGTCCCTGTCTCCTACCGCAGGTAAAAAAAAAATAGGACTTCCCCTGTTTTTTCAGTGCAAATTTTTGTCATTTTTGAGTTGGTTGATAACTTTTTCATATGTTTTATATTCATTTAAAATATAACGAAGTTTTATGTTTAGTTGTGAAACGATCCTCTTCTTTCATTAAAGTTTGGATTCGTTTAATACTAATTCATTAGTTTTTTTGGCCCTACATTCTATCCTTCACAATCTGAAACCGATTGAAGTTTAACCCACATTCCCGTAATTCACGAGATTCCTGAGAAACAAACAGAATCCAAGATAAACAAAAAGAGAAAGACCCAACCTTCACTTTTCCTTAAAGCTGATAGAAAAATATTCCTTACTTTTTTATTATTCTCCAGGGTGCCATGCCGGAAACAAGGAGGAATCAGGTTCACAATCAACGGTTTCCGCTACTTCAACTTGGTCCTAATCACCAACGTGGCAGGTGCTGGTGACATCGTGAAGGCAAGCGTGAAAGGTTGGAAAACAGGGTGGATGAGCATGAGCCGAAACTGGGGCCAAAACTGGCAATCCAATGCCGTTTTGGTTGGCCAATCACTTTCTTTTAGGGTCACTGGCAGTGATCGTAGGACCTCTACTTCATGGAACATTGTCCCTTCCAATTGGCAGTTTGGTCAGACTTTCACCGGCAAAAATTTCAGGGTCTAATCTAATTTTACAAGGTTTTGTTTTTTGGGTTTTAATATCTTAGTTTTTTTTTTGCTGGAAAACGAGAGAAAGTGTGTGTTGAAGATTGTTTTGACGGAGGAGTAAAATGGGTTCTTACTTCGGATCAAAGAAAAAAAAAAAGGTTCTTACTTCTTATGGCTAATGGCTTTTTAGTTTTCACTGTTTTTCTTTTTTTTGGTCAAAGGGGTGAGAGGGTAAAGGTAAAAAAAAAAAAAATGAAATGCAATGGGGGCTGAAGTGGCTTGGAAAGTTGTAGCCCGCAGCTTTGATATAATATATATTTAATTTAATGAAAGAAGTGTTTTAATTTACCAATGTTTCTAGTGTTTTTAGATGATTCGCTTGAAATTTACGATGTTAATTTTATTTTGTTATGCTTTCTATGTTGGAAAATAAAGGGGAGTACATAAAAAAATAAAAAGAAATTACTTTCAAGGAAGATATAATATATTCCTTTTCCTTTGATTAAAAAGAAAAACAAAAGTGCAAGTGTAAAAGAAAGTGAAACAAAGAATGGCAATGCGGCCATTTTTTTCCATTGATGAAAACAGAAGTATTTTAATCTTATTATCATTTTCCTTTTTCAATTGACAAAAAAAAAAATCCAAGGATCTTTAATGTATGGTATTGGTAATGTATTCTTTTATCTACCACGAACATGACTAAGTCCCAAAATTCATAAAAAAAAATTGACCAAAAAACTCTTCTATATGAAAAAAAAAAAGAAACTAAGTAATGATACATAGGATTCTTCTATGATATAGCCGTAATAGGTTCATTAGATTCTCATGTTGCATTTGAATGTCTTTTTTGGACTGCCTAGGCTAATACCAACATTTAGGAGTGCATTGATCTCTGCTTTATCACTTTTGTTCTGGTGTTGACTAATGAACTTAAGCTCGAACCAGCTGTTCTGTTCTTAAACCAGAATAGCAGCACAACAATCATTGAGTTGATGTCTATTCACTTGGCTCAAAGATATCTTTGTCTTACTCCAATCTCCTGATAGCTGGCAATTAGACTTCAATTTCAACAGTGTGGTAACTCTCTTGGTTGTGACTGTAAACTAAAATTGCTGTCAAATTTATCGCAACAAAATTATTGATCTGAAAGTACAAGTTATGGTCTCTGGTAAATTGGAAAATACTCAGGTTGAACTTTCTTTATTTTTGTTAGCTCCTCAGCCCACTGCCCTGAGACTTCCACTTCATTCTAATCATTCTGTCCAATATTTTGCTTAGCTTGTCAATCCATTTCTAAACTAGAAGTAAACCCAGTGTCAAATTTTCAACATGCAGTTCAGATTTTTATTTAAGACCAGGAAAGTAAACAGAGCTTAAAATCTTGGAATTTGAAGAAAATTTTTATGATTTTCTTGCAAAACTGTGACTTGAGAAGTTAACAGTTAAATTTTAAAAAGCTAACCGAAATTTCAGTTTAGATCAGAAAACTTTAATCCCTTTAACCCAAATTTCAATCTCGACTAAAAACTACTGACTATAAAGCCAAATTAACCTAAATGAGATTACCAGGACAAAAAGGAGATATACATACGGTATATAACAAGAAATGTGAGATGGTAGCAGTAGACAAAAAAGGGATAGAATTTGCCCTTCACCAATGGATACCATCACCATCCCGCCGGTTGTCTGGCCGCTGCTTAATTCTGCTTCTTTGTTTCCAAAGAAGCAAAATCAAGCTTTTTATTTCTGCACTGTTGCTAAAGAAACAAAGCATTAAAAAACCATTGCTTTCTTTCCTAAAAATGCAACAAATGCAAATATTACCAAAAGCCGAAAAAAAATTAAGGGATAAGGGCTCATATCAAGTGTAAAGATTAGATTTTAAGTCATTGTGGGAAAAACTCAGATTCAAAATGGGAAGAAAAAGATAAAAAGTAAAGATAAAAAAGAAAAATTTTGAGACACCGAAGCCTTCAAAGAAAGGCGGCGTCTTCAAGTTTTCCCTTTTTTTTATCTTTTTTTTTTATATATGATCCCACTCAAGCCTCTCTCATTTTAATCATAGCCCTTTGTTTGCCCCGTTGTAAGATTATTTTCAGAAAGGAAAATTTTAAGAGAGAATCTTAGCAGAAGAAGTTTTTCAAAATGCAAAACTCCGTGATACACAGGGTTCTTGAAGCTGGGGATTTTTGGTGCAGTTGAGGAGGCGATTAGGGTTTAGAATTGGGAGATTTAAGATGGGTTTTTGTTATGTATTTATAATGGGTTTTGGGCTAGGGTTAGAGTTTTAGTTAACAGAGCCCATCGCTTCAGCATTTTTAATTTCCTTGGGCTTCTTCGCCCTTCTCCTCTTCCTGTCTTTTTTAGGCAAAAATTTCATAATAATAATAATAATAATAATAATAAGAGATAAAAAAAAAAAACATATTTGTTTATACTATTTATACTTTTTTTTGGTAAATATTAGTGTTGGATTAAGTATTTTTTATTATTATATGATATCTCATTATTAAGGTTTTAAGGTCATATTTGAAATGTAAAATTATGATAGGATAAAATAAGATAATAATATTATGAATAGAATTAGATTAAATAATATCATTATATTTTATGTTTGATATATGTAAAAATTATGATAAAATAATTTATTTATTTATTTGTCAAAATTATCATTTTTTAAAGATTATATAATTTAAATTATTGATGTAATTTTTAAAAGTATAATTGAACATATAAATTTAATTTTATGAATTAAAAATAATTCTTTTAACTTAGAGAGGATTAAATTACATTATGCTAAGAGGATATTAATCCTTCTTGTAATATTTATCTCTCTCTTTAGATACAAATCAAACATAATATAAGATAATTATTATTTTATCCAATTAATGATCTTACATATCAAATATGAGCTAAGTGTATTATTATTGTTGTCAATTAAATTGAGCCATTTTCTAGTAAAATAAATATGACATATGACTCCAAGGTTTTTCTTTTTTCTATTATTTTTGCTCATCATTTGGGAGAAAAAAACTCTGCTGCAAACGCCATGTTATTGCCTTAATGATGAACTTGATATTTCTCTAGAATAAGCAACTTGAAGATCTAAACAAGCTTTACCTTTTTGCTTTGTTCAAACGGTCAAAATCATCGTAAGTAGCCATGAATCCATGCGTTACCATAAGTCCAAAATTTTTTTATTTTGTCATATTTAATTAATTAGTTTTTTATAGTAAAATTCATATAATTAAAAAAAACGATAAATAACTAAAAAACAAATAGAAATAAAATATATTTAATTCGATTTATTTATTTTTAATGAAAGTTTTCTACTTTTTAAAAAGATAAAAAAAAACGAAAAAAATGAAAAGAAAAAAGCAAAGAAATAAAACAAAAAAAGACTTCGTAGAGTATGTTATACGAACATTTTTATAAAGCTTAAAATATTATTTTTTAAAATTAAAATATTAAATAATCATTTTATTAATATAATATATACTTGTTATCAAATAATCAAATATTAATTGTTATGATATTTTTATCAACCAACACAACTTGCTGAAGAATTGATTTAATAAAAAATTTGTAAAAATATCATAGATTCATTAAATTAAGATATTAAATAATAATTTTATTAGTATATAAATAAAAATATAAAATCAAATAAATAATTAAAAATATATTTATATATTCAAGTGGGAGAAAAAAATCCCAAAGTCGTTTATGACTTGACTCAAATTTTTGAAAAAAAAAAACTCAATTCAATCTTAACCTTTTAGAAAAAATACATTTATCGAATCTAGAAATCCATTAAATATGGTGTTTTGTCATATACACCTACATTAACATTTTTCTTAAAAAAATTATTGACAAATTTCTTTTGTTGAGAAATTTTTTTAATTAAAAAAAAAGTAAAAACAAAAAAGATAAAAGGTAAAAAGAAAAACGAAATTAGGTGCTATATATACACATTCGTTGATTTTTTTAATAAAAAATTATCTAATTTGAAAAAAGAAGGAAAAACCTTAAAAAAGGAAAAATAGATGAAAACCAAAAAAAAAAAAAATTGTGTTCACATGCAACATTAGCAATGATAAGGTTTTATTAAAAAAATTTATGTTATGAATTAAAAATATAAAACTAAAAAAATCCAAAAAAAGGAAAAAAATCAAATTCGGATGTGAAGCCAACACATCCACTAGTATAATTTTCTTTAAAAATGATCAAATTAAAAAAAAATTAAACATATATTTTTAATAATAATATCAAGTGACCCATAAGAAAAGGTCAAAATATAAAAAACTATTAAATATTAAAAAAATTAATAGAAAAAAAAAGAGAAAAAAATAAGTAAAAAATCAAATGACTCGACAAGTTTTATATTATTGATATAAAGTGGGTTTGACAAAAAAAAATATCAATTATGTAAAAAATAAAAAAAAATAAGTTTTAAAAAAGGAAAAATAATAAACATGTCATGTACCTTTAATAGCAAGTGAGTTTCAAAATAAAATTAAAACAAGAAAATTTTCTTTAAAAAAATTTAAAAAGGAAGAAATAGAAAAAAATAAGGAAAATTGGTATAAGTGAGTGCCACAAAAAAATTTATTTTAAAAATATTGAATATAATAAAAAAAATTAAAAATGGGTGAAAAAATAAAACCAAAAGATAAATTTAAAAATTGCAAGCTCCAAAACTTTTTAAACAAATTACAAAAACAAAAAGCCAAGAGAAAAATAAACCAATTGAAAAACAAAATTTGAATCTCACACCTTTAAAAACAAAAAAGGATGTGAGCCCATATCCTTAAAAAAAATTTTTTAAAGGTGGAGCTCAACATAAAATTAAACAAAAATCAAGAGACTGCCATGTAGGAGGTTGCACAACTGGTATGTGACACTTTTTACTATAAATTTGCAGCATTTTATAAATTCATCCAATAGTCTAAAATTCATTTTTGTTTTTGTTTCAATGAACACACTTTCACCTTGGATCAAGATTCTCAATGTGATCTAATCGTCCAAATTGTTTATTGCCAAATATGTGATTTTTAAAACTCTTGGATTAATTTAAAAGATCATTTTGCCCCTAATACAAAATTTTTGATCTTTAGGCCATTTTCATAGAAATCGATGCTCTCATATTCATTTTTATAGTTTTAAAGCACGAAAAATCATAAAATAATATGAAACTAAATTTTGAAAAGTTTCATGAAAATCAAGCCTAAAAAATGTCAAATTACAAAATTACTTTTAAGGATATTTTACTAATATCACACATCTCGAGATGTTGCTATGGTTTTGAATGCTCTAAAAATCATCAAATATTTTAAAATCATGTTCTAGAAAGTTTCACAAAAAACCAACCTTAGGACGGTTAAATTATAAAATTACCTTAAAGGGTATTTTAGTAATTTTATACTATTTAAGGTGCAATCAAAGTTTTCAAAATTCTAAAATTCAAATAATATCAAACCATAACTTAGAGTGTTTCATGAAATTTTGACCTTAGGAATGTCAAATTATGAAAATACCTTGTAATTTCACACCTCCAATGATTAGGTTTTTAATGCATCAAAAGTCCTAAAAACACAATTCAATTATGATATGAAAATTTTCCTAAAAATTCAACTTCGAGAAAGCAAAATTACGAAAATACCTGTAAAGGTTATTTTGATAATTTTACCTTTCTCAAAGTGCAATCAAGGTTTTTGGTGCTTCAAAATCACAAATTTCAATCTTAATCCATATTGGTTCCAATTTTATTGTCACAAATTCATTCAAGGGTCCAAATTTCATTCTTGTTTTTGTTTCAAGGAGCAAAATTTCACCCTTTGATCAAAATTTCCAATGTGATCCAACAATCTAGATTGTTTACTACCAAAGATTTTATTTTTAAAGCTTAAAGCATCAAGTAAAAAGACCATTTTGCCTCTAATATAAAGTTTTCAGTATTTGGGCTACTTTCGTAGAAATCAATGCTCTCATATTCATTTTTGTAATTTTAAAGCACAAAAAAATGAAATAATATGGAACTAAAATTTGGAAAGTGTCGAGAAAATCGGACCTCAAGATGGTCAAATTATGAAATTACTCTTAGAGGTATTTTGATAATTTCATACCTCTCAAGGTGCTGTCATGATTTTGAATGCACCGAAAATCATCAAATATTTTAAAAGCATGATCTAAAAATTTTTGTGAAAAACCAAACCTGGAAAGGTGAATTTATGAAATTACTCTTTAAGAGTATTTTGAAAATTTCACTCATTCTAAGATAAGATCAAGGTTTTCAAAATTCTAAATTTCATCAAATAATATCAATCCATGATCTGGAGGGTTTCATGAAATTTCAACTTGGAAAAGTCAAATTACGATAATATCCTTAAAGGTATTTTTGTAATTTCACACCTTTCAAAGTGTGATATAGGTTTTTAATGCATAAAAAATCCTTAAAAAAAATCAATTATGATTTGAAAATTTCATGAAAGTTCAACTTCAAAATGGCCCAATTATGAAAATATCCTTAAAGGGTATTTTGGTAATTTTACCCTACTCAAAGTGCAATCAAAGCTTTTAATGCTTCAAAATCACAAATTTCATTTTTAATCCACATTGGTTTCAATTTGATTGTCACAAATTCATCCAAGGGTCCAAAATTCACCTTTATTTTTGTTTCAATGAGCAAACTTTCACCCTTGGATCAAGATACCCAATGTGATCCAACGGTCCAGATTGTTTACTGCTAAAAATATGATTTTTAAAAATCTTTGATTAAGTGAAAAGACCAGTTTGTCCATAATACAATGTTTTTAGTCTTTAGCCCATTTTCTTAGAAAGTCGACGTTCATGTGTTCATTTTTGTGATTTTAAACCATCAAAAATCTTAAAAGAACATGAAAATAAATTTGCAAAGTTTCATGAAAATCCAACCTTAAGAAGGCTAAATTACGAATTACCCATAAGGGGTACTTTTGTAATTTCACACCTTTCGAGGTGTTGCATTGGTTTTAAATGCACCAAAAATAATCAAATATTTTAAAATCATGATATGAAAAGTTTTATGAAAAATCAACCTCGAAAAAGTTAAATTACGAAATTACCTTTAAGGGATATTTTGATAATTTTACACCTTCCAAGATGCGATCAACATTTTCAAAATCTAAAACTCATCAAATAATATTAAACCATATCTGGAGCATTTTTGCGAAATTCTGACCTTGGGATGG